GAGGAGGAGGAAGTACACGGCGTCGGAGATTGAGCAAGGAGTCGGGGAGAATCACTTCGGAGAAGTTGGGGTAAGCTCCCGATAATAATTTCTTGGGGATAATATAATTCGGGGGCCTGGCGTGGATAGTTTTTTTTTTTCTTTTCCGGGGAAGCCAATGTTATGATGCTGCTGCTGCTGCTGCTGCTGATGATGATGATGATGATGATGATGATGATGATGATGATGATGATGATGATGATGATGATGATGATGCTGATGCTGATGTTGATGCTGATGCTGATGGATGCTGATGCTGATGCTGATGTGATTGCTGATGCTGCTGCTGCTGCGCTGCTGCTGATGCTGCTGATGATGATGATGATGTGATGATGATGATGATGATGATGTGATGTATGATGATGATATGATGAGGATGATGATGATGATGATGATGATGATGATGATGATGATGATGATGATGAGCCTGGGCGCTCGTGTAGACTGACCTTGCCGTAGCCATTTTGGCCTCAAGCCATTTTGGCTCGAGGCCGAGAAGTGGATTTGGGCGGCCAAGGCGCCACCCCCTGCCCTCGGCTGCGCGGGGCGCGGCTGGATGGGGCGACAAGCGCGGCCGGGGCGGGCATGTACGGCGGACCCGCGGGGCGGGCGCCGGGCGAAGCGACGGCCGCAGCAGGGTGCCTCCCCAGCTCCCGGAGGGCTGGGCTTGGGGGTGGGGCTGGTTGCATCATCCCCAGTGCCGATGGCAGGAGCCGCGGGCGCGGGGCCGTTCCTCGCCCCCGCGCCGGGTGCGTGGGCCGGGCCCCACGCGGCCTGGCCTGGCTTGGCGGAAGTAGAAGAAGGCAAACCCACTCAGCGGGTTGAGGAGGCGCCTGTGGCTGCACGCGGCGAAGGCGGCGGAGGCCCCGGCGAGCAGCTGGCGAGCTCCCCCACGCGCAGACCGGCGGGTCCAGGCCGCTGCCTGCAGCGCCTGGGGCAGGAGCGACTGGCCCCCTGGCACGAGGACCGACGGCGCAGCCGGTCGGCAAGAAGAGCGACGGCTGGACGCCACCCCGGCCGGGCGCCGAGCGGCGGGGACTGCCGCAGCCCGCCGCGCCCCCCGCGCCAGCCGGAGGCCCAGCCGCGGCGCCGGGAGGAGGAGCGGGCGCCCCCCCCGAGGCGAGCACGGAGCCCGGCGGGCAGCCCGCCGCCTGCCAAGTCTTGGGCGGCGACGGCGGCCGACCTGGCAAGGGACGCAAGCAGAGGGAAGCCCTCCTCGAGCTACTCCTATTCGAGCGAGGAGGAAGCAGAGCGCGACGCGGCGGGACCAGACGCGCCGGCCGCCGCGGCCGGGACAGCGGCCGGGCCAGCGCCACCAGCAGCAGCGCGGACGGCGGCCGCGGCTCCACTGGCTCCGGCCGCAGCGGCGCCGGCTCTGGCCGCGCCAGCCGCGGCTCCGCCGGCGGCGGCCCCGCCGGCAGCGCCTGCCGAGCCCGCGCGGCAGGGCGCCGGGAGCACGGCGGCGGATCTCCACGAGATCCTGCGGTGTGCCAGCTGGGCCTGCTCGGTCGCGCAGATCGGGGGCGGCGCCTTCTTGGTGCGGCAGGGCCAGGACCGGGCGGGCGCCTGAGCGCGGGCCGGAGCGCCAGCGCCCCGCCAGGAGGGGCCAGGCCGGGCGCGCCGGACGAGCCGGACAGCTGGCCCCTGACCGCGGGCGAGCGCACCCCCAGCGGGAGCGAGAACGACCTTGAGGGGTCGTACGACGCGCTCGATGGCCCCTGGGGGCGCACCCTGCTCGACCCGGCGCGGGCGGGCTTCGGGCCGGCTCCGAGACCCTCCTGGGCCGACGCCGAGGACGACGGCACCCCGGGCGGCGGGGGCGGGCCGCGGCCGGCAGCGGCCGGCGGCCAGCAGCAGGCGCCCTCGCCGGCTGCGCGCGGCGCGCCGACGGCGAGCGCTTCCCCGGAGGCGGCCCGCGGCGGCAGCTCGGCGACGCCGCTGTCCACGCTTGCTGCTGGCGCGCGTGCGGCGAGCGCCTCCCCAGCGGGGGCGGCCCGCGCAGGCCCCTCGGAGGCGCGCTTGGCGGGCGCCGCGGCGAGCGCCCCTGGGGCGGCCCGCGGCGCGCCCGGCGCTTCGGAGGCGGGCAGCGGCGGCCGAGACGGCGCGGCGGCCGGCGACGCGGCGAGCGTTTCCGCGGCGGAGGCGGTCCGCAGCGCCGCTCGCGCGGCCGCGGCAAGCGCCCCCGGGGGCGCGGCCGCGGCGAGAGCCCCCCGGGAGCGGCCGGCGGCACCGCTTGCGCGGACGTTCTGGGCGCTTCGGGGGCAACCAGCGGCGGCCGAGACGGCGCGGCGGCTGGCGCCGCGGCGAGCGCCATCGCGGCGCCCCCGGCCAGCGCGGCCGCGGCGAGCGCCCCCAGGGCAGGGGCGGCCCGCGGCCCCACGGGCGCGGGCGTTCTGGGCGCTTCGGAGGCGGCGGAGGGCTGGCAGCCAGCCCCGGAGAGCCGCTCCAAGCGCCGCTCGCGCCGGCGCCGCCCCGCGGACTGGCCGCCGGCGCGCTCGCCGGCGGGCAGCGGCGCGGAGGAGGGCGCGGCGGAAGCGCCCCTTGCCGGCGCCGGCCACGGCGCGAGCGACGAGGCCGCTTGTTTCGCGCTCGCCCGCGCAGAGCTGACCGTGGCGCTCGGCGAGCGCCTGGGCGCGGGCGGCTGGGCCACCGCGCGGGAGCTCGCGCCGCTGCTGGGGGTCGCTCTGCGCGGCCTCAGCTTCCGGGGGGCGCGGGGGCGGCTCCTGGCGGCCGCCGAGGCGCTCGTGGAGCGCGACGCGGCCGACGCCGCCGCGCGCGGGCGGGCGCTGCAGTGGCAGCAGGCGGCCGCCGAGGCCGCGCGGCCGGCCGGGCCAGCCTAGCGGCGCCTGGCGCTGCTGCGCCGCCGCGCTGCGGGCTGCGGCGGCGGCGCCCTCGGGGCTGCCGGGGTCCCTGGCCGCGCGGCGGGGGCGCGCGCCCCGCAAGGCCGGGGCGCGCGCCCCGCAAGGCCGGGGCGCGCTGAGGCGCCGGCCTGGCCGCGCCTGCACTGCTTGCTTTTGCTGTTGCTTTCCCTCCTCCTCCCCTCCCCTCCCCTGCTGCTGCCCTCCTCTTCCTTTAGCCGCGGGGCGACCTTCTCGAGTTGGTGAAAAGTGTAGACTGACCTTGCAGATCTTGGCACAAGACTGGCTCGAGGCGGAGGAGGAGGGGGAGCCGCGAACCGTGTGAGGGATGCGCTGAGAACTAACTCGAAGACTGCCTGCCCAAAAAAACACATGTAATTTTAAGTCCAATTGGTCCCCATGGCCCTGCCGCACGTTCCTGACTCGGGAGCGGCTGAGAAGGTGAGAATCCCATGTCCTTGCCGAACGTTCGTGATTTGGGAAAACTGAAATGGTGAGAATCCCATAACCCTGCCACGCATTTGTGATTGCGGAAGCTGGAATGGTGAGACCACCATCGCCATGCTCTGCGTTTTTGATGCTGTTGCTAGTCAACAAGATGATATCAACTTCGATTCGCAATTTCCCCCGGGGATTATCAAGTTCGGCCTCCGCGCCCTCTCCACACTGGAATCCTATCAACACGGGGTAGACATGTTAGAGAGGGGAAAGGGGGGGGGGGGTACATTTTTGTCGGGGGCAGTGTGTTAGTGGCAGTCGGCTGTGGAGTCGATGGCGGGTTCTTAGCGGGAAGACGCGAATGGCGGTGTCGAGGGCATGCTCGTAGCAAAGCTGATCATAAAGACCTCGATGGGATCGCCTAAGTGTGCGTTCAGGTGCAAAGTCCCATGCAGAGAATGGCAAGGACCACCTCGTCCAGCTTGTTTCATATGTACGGTCTAACACCCTCGTCCTATCATGCCCGAGCGCGTATCTGTGAGTCAAGAGGAAGGCATGGGCGAGGAGCGCCGATGTGATACCCCGATACCACGGCGGGCGGAGGTACTGCTACAGGTACCGCAACCAGACCAACCCCCTCACGCCTGGCAATTCGGTCGTGCGCAGCCTTAGATTCGGCAGCACGGCAAACGCGGATGCGATGTCTCCCCTCATGTTCGAGCGCCAGAATTTCGGTACCACCCGATGAGTTTATCGCCTTCTGCTTGTTTCTCCATCGTCCCCCTCCTCTTCCTCTTCGTCCTCTTCCTAGTTGCCCTCTTCCTCGACCTTCTCTTCTTCGTCCTCACTTCCCTTACTTTGATTTAACTGAAATGTTAGTCTCCCTTCTCCCTTTAACCAGTGCTTCCCGGACCCCGCCTCCCCCGCGTACTGTTTGGTAGATTTCTGTAGCGTTCTGAGGGGCACCATCCCGTCTTCTGGCACCCGCCCGCATGCACCCCCTTCTCTTCGTAATAAAGATGGGGTCCGCATTCCCAAGGCCACGATACATTGTGAACAACTACGGGTCTTCGCTCCCGCGGCCACGATCCCGTGTAAGCAAACAATGGATCTGTCCTCTGAGGCAGCGTTTTCGAGTAAACAACTATGACAGTCAAGCATCACCTATCGACGCTCCCGAGCTTCTAAGATGGCCGAGGCAGGCAACCACGTCCTCAAAAACGGGCCCATATGGCCCCAAGCCGGCACAAGGTGGCCTCAAAACGATCCAAAATGCTCCCAAGATAGTGCAAGAGGGCCACAACAGGACGCCCAGTAGGGTTCGAAGAGGCCAACCGCATTGTTTTTGTAGCAGAAGATTTGCGTATCTTCACCTAGTTGGGCTTTCTTCAGTTCCAGAAGGCCCTAAAGGCTTCAATCTTGCCTGAGGACGGCCCAAGAAGGTCCCTAAACTAGTCCAACAATCCTCCAAGACGACTTCGAGACAGTCCACGAGGGTCTTCAGACGGCCCAGGACGCCTTACAGAGTCCTCGACAGCCTAAGATGGCCCAAGGAAGGCCCCCCTGACGGCTGCAAGAGACACCCCGGACGGCTAAGGGGGCCCCAAGACGGCCAAAGAGAGCCCCAAGGCGGCCCAAGATGGCCCCCAAGACGGCCCAAAGTTGCCCAGTGGATCCCCAAGGCTGCCCGACGGGAGGCCCAGAAAGGACATGAGAAACGAAGAAAAACGACAAAGACGCGAGAAGTGAACCCTCAACACGACACGGCAGCGTGTGTCACATGTTATGTCTCTCCCAGGTCTCGGGGCACGAGGAGTCACACGTCACGTCCCTCCCCCCGTCATCGCCGAAACACTATCTCGAGACGGCCCACGAGAGCTTCCCCAACAGCACCCCCAGGACAGCCCCAGCGGGGACTGACACCATTTGACGTCCCCGCTCCATCGCAATCGTCACAAGGCGGTGCTCCGCGGCCCGTAGAGGGGTGTGGGGCGAGGGAGGTGGTCTTCTGGGCCTTCCGGGACGCCTTCTCCTCAGCCCCCCTCGGGGGCCTTCGCAAGCGTCTTCCCGCCTTTGCCAGAGGCCTCCTCGGATCCCCCTGAGCCCCTCCGAGAAGCCTCTCGGCCAGTCGCAGGACCCCCGCCCCCTCTCGCTCCACCCCCTCGTGCGCGCTGCCGGTCATCCGAGGCGGGGATTCGTCCACAACCACCGCCTGGGGGATCGACCTTCGAAGACTTCGGCAGGCGGTGCATATGGATCTACAGTTGAGACCCATGCCAAGAAACACCCTGCTTGCCTCCAGGGTGCCCTGTGTTTCCTGGGTTTCGATGGCTTTTCTTTGGGAAGCGCGACGTTCCCCCATTGAAAACCAAGGGACGTCCTGGGGTCTCAGGGTTGGGTTTATCGTGGAAGGTCTCTCGTGGACTGGCCTCCACTCTAAGAGGGCCCCAAGGGGGTGGGGCAATCACATCCACGTCCGCCGACGGCCGAGGCCGCCGAAGATCGCCCCCCCCCAGGCGGTGGCTGATTGAAGCATCCCCACCTCGCAGGCAGGCACAATCCTTGCAGGGAGGTGCCACTTCGGCTCGGTACTACAGTCAACTCGCATGGTAAGGATGGGCAGCCTTCCCAAGGGTACCCTTGCATCCTTGCCCCTTCGGCCCATCCTTAGCGACTTTCACTGGCCAACCTCGTTCGCAAAAACGTTGACATGGGCCTCCAAGGCCTTTGCATCCTTACCGCGCATCCTTATGATACGGGTTGACTGTACCGAACCAGATACGGAAAGACTGGGGGACGAAGACCAGCAGCAGTCCTTGTCCGTTTTGAACAGGAGTTGCCGTCGATGTCGCCGTGGGCGCCACCATTGGAGACAGAAAGTCGCCTGCCCAACAGCGGCCGCTGTCGGTTTTGGACTGAAGTCTGGCATTTCCCTCTACAGGAGAAATTTTCAAAAATAGTAAGAAACAGTCTGGGACGATTTTTTGACTATTCGTAAGGACTTCGCCCCCTGCCGCCGGCCCCCTCCTATATCATCATGGGATATGTCAGAGTCGCGTCGGAGCGTCTCGGCGCTGCCTTGGCGCATCTGGGAACATTATGCGGGGGCGGATAGGAATCATCAGCGCATATTGAAACGTGGGCGTCATCGAAGACGCCTATGGCGAATGGCGAATCACCGCCGCCCCCTGCCTTTTTGGAAGCGCCTATGTGGCCGACAGCTGGGCCAGAGCTTGGCCAAGCTATCGGACCATGTGTTCCCCGAGTCGGTTTGGAACGACTTCGGGGAACGCGTGGGGGAGCAAGAAGAGGAGGAGGGGGAGGATGAGGAAAAAAGGGGAGTAGGAGGAGGAGGAGGAGGAGGAGGAGGAGGAGGAGGAGGAGGAGGAGGAGGAGGAGGAGGAGGAGGAGGCCTCTTGGGCGCCTCTTGGGGCACTCTTGGGGCCTCCTGGGAGCTTCCTGGGGGCCTCTTGGAGGGTTTTGGAGGGCCTTTGGGGGCCTTTTAGGGGCTTCTTTGGCCGTCTTAGGGCGTTCTTGGCTTGTCTGACGCTGTCGGAAGCCGTCTTGGGGGCCTGTCTGGGTCGTCTTGGGGCCCTCTTGGGGCATATCAGGGGTTCTTAGAGGCCATCTTGGGCGTCTTGGAGGCCTCTTGGGCCGTTTTGGGGCCCTCTTGGGGCCGTCTTGGGGGCCTTTTGGGCCGTCATGGGGCCATCTTGGAGGCCTCTTGGGCGATCTTGGGGGCCTCTTGCGTCGTCTTGAGCCGTCGGAATGCCGAGAAGAAACAAATGCAACAATCCTTCAACAACCTAAGGACACTCAATGATTTTGCCGTCTTCGTGCCCTCCTGGAAGATCTCCTGGACGCCTTTTGGGCCGTCTTGGAGGCCTCTTGGGCCGCCTTGGACTGTCTTGGGCCATCTTGAGGCCATCTTGGGTGCATCTTGGGTCGTCTGGGAGGCATCTTGGGGCCATCTTAGCCGTCTTGGAGGCCACTTTGGCCGTCTTGGACGCCTCTTGAGCCCTCTTGGGGCCGTCTTGGGGGCCTCTTGGGCCGTCATGGGGCCATCTTGAGGCCATCTTAGGCCGTCTTGGGAGCTTCTTGGGCCGTCTTGAGCCGTCGGAATGCCGAAAACAAGCAAATGCAAGAATCCTTCAACCACCTAAGGACAATCAATGATTTTGCCCTCTTGGAGGCCTCGTGGGTGATCTTGGGGCGATCTTGGGGGCCTCCTGGGCTGTCTTGGGCCGTCGGAAAGCCGAAAAGGCGCAACTACTAAAACCCTTGGAACACCTAAGGAAAATACATGATTTTGCCCTCTTCGGGCCCTCCTGGAGGACCTCTTGGAGGCCGCTTGGGCCGTCTTGGAGGCCTCTTGGGGGCCTTTGGGCCGTCTTAGGCCATCTTGAGGCCATCTTAGGCCGTCTTGGGTGCATCTTGGGCCGTCTTGGAGGCATCTTGGGGCCAACTTAGCCGTCTTGGAGGCCATCTTGGGCGTCTTGGAGGCCCCTCGGGTGGTCTTGGGGCCCTCTTGGGAGCATTTTGGGAGCCTCTTGGGCCGTCATGGGGCCATCTTGGAGGCCTCGTGGGTGATCTTGGGGCGATCTTGGGGGCCTCCTGGGTTGTCTTGGGCCGTCGGAAGCCGAAACGGCGCAACTACTAAAACCCTTCAAAGACCTAAAGAAAATACATGAATTTGCCCTCTTCGGGCCCTCCTGGAGGACCTCTTGGAGGCCTTTTGGGCCGTCTTGGAGGCCTCTTGGGGGCCTCTTGGGCCGTCTTAGGCCATCTGGAGGCCATCTCGGGCCGTCTTGGGTGCATCTTGGGCCGTCTTGGAGGTATCTTGGGGCTATCTTTGCCGTCTTGGAGGCCATCTTGGGCGTCGTGGAGGCCATCTTGGGCCGTCTTGGAGCCGTCTGGACAGGACAAATCCTTTGGAGCTGGGTCTGGGCAATCTTTCGGGGATCCCGGCGGGACGGGCCGAAGCCCCAGGGGGAGTTCTTTTGGAGAAGGAACCAAAACCAAAAACGATAGGACTTGGCACGCCAGGCACCCCTCTTGCAAGCAACAGGGGGCGGCGGATCGAAGACGCCTACGGCGAATCACCGCCGCCCCCTGCCCTTTGGAAGCGCCTATGTGGCCGAACGTTGAGGCCAGACCTGCCAAGCTATCGGACCATGTGTTCCCCGAATCGGTTTGGAAAGCCTTCGGGGAACACGTGGGCATTTTGAAGGTCATCTTGGCCGTGTGGAGGCCATTTTGACTCTTTCGTGCCTTCTTCGAGGACGTCTTGGATGGCTCTTGGGCCGCCTTGGAGGCCATCTTGAGCGTCTTGGAGGCCTCTTGGGCCGCCTTGGGGGCCTCTTGGGGTCGTCTTGGGCCTCTGGGGCGATCTTTGGGGGCACTTGGGCCTTCTCGGGCCGTCGAAAGGTCGAACAAAAAGCAAATGCCACAATCCTTCAAAAACTCATGGGAAATCAATGATTGGAGAGGCCTGACGGCAGGTGCCGCCGACCCTGATCGAAAGGGCTAGGAGTGGGGGGAGGAAGCGGAGGATGAGGAGGAGGAGGAGGTGGAGGAGGAGGAGGAGGAGGAGAAGGAGGAGGACCAGGAGCAGGAGGAGGAGGAGGAGGAGGAGAGGAGGAGGAGGAGGAGGAGAAGGAGGAGGAGGAGGAGAGAAGAGGAGGAGGAGGAGGAGGAGGAGGAGGAAGTGCATCCTTTGTGTGCCGCTCGAAGAAAGTGTGCCCGGGG